AGAATTTATACTGCTATCGTTCGATATGATGGTGATAATTATCAGGAAAATTGCGCATTTTCTTTGCTAATTGACGACCATATGCTCGAACGTGTAATATCTTGCACGGAATTAGAAGCTTCTCGAGTTTTGGGTAAAAAATTTGGAATTTTGTATGCAACGAAACGAAAAACTTGGAACTTTCGTATTTGTGGAACAGAAAATGGGGACCAAACTTCTTTTTCAACACCGTGAAATGTTTACCGTTTACCAAAATATTGAGATTTATTCGCTTTGATAAGAAAAGTGATGGAGGTCAACGTTTACAAAGTGATAAATTTGTTTCTATGTCAATTGTATATGTCGATTGATTTTACATATCATTAAGCTTTCATGCACATGGGCACGTGATCGAAGTATGCCCGATCAACGCGTTCCTGCGTACGTGTACGCAAGAATTACCAATTAGCCTCAGAGCGCAAACTCCAAGGCCATCATGGTCTGACCTTTCTAGAATCGATGTCAGCTGTATGACATAAGTTTATTCAAAATAGTCAGAGTTGCGACAAACTAGGTGGAAATGTTGCAATTGGCAAACAACTCTTTCCATCTAAAGCCAGATGCAGATTCATTCAATATATATTTGGTATTAATTGCACTACGTAACATGGGATTTTTTTCGTAAGAAATCAAAGTAATAAATCAATAAATATAAAAATATTCGTATTTAAAGACCAGTCACTGGTTGATTGGTTCGATCCTCATCGGTATTGTTAATCTCATTCTTCTTTCTTATTATACTTCACACATGGCCGCTATCGTGTGTTAAATGAGCTATTTGAAGTCGGAGAATTAATTGATATTCCTAACAAATGTAAAGTTAGTTGGATCGAAATGCAAATTCAAAACAAACTTACTAATTACGAATGTACTTGCTAATTGTCAATCGTCCTCGAGAAATATTCAATTTCATACGAGAAAATGGAATATTTTCGAAATCGCTCGAAAACTAAGAGGGCGGTAATATGCAAAGAGAAAAGTTATTCAAAATGTTGATTTCCATGATATATTAAAAAATTAGCGTAATCGGTGATAACTTGTTTGTTTATTATTGCATGATTCTTTTCACAAAACTGCCAAAAATGGCCAAAAATGGCAAGAAAAGAATCGTACGTAAAATTTTAAGTTATGGCAAACAGGAAGTTTCAATCTGAAAATTTGTTACTGTAGATTCAAGCTTCCTTTATGAAAAATTGACATCTTAGAATAAAATGGTGTATTTTGAAAGACTTCAATGTTTAAAACGACATGTTGTTGTATGACTTTGTTTTACAGAATTATAATATCTTAGACTTCTAGTGCTCTAACATTCAAGTGTCCGAATATTAATATGAGTAAGTTTTACAAAATAATTAAAATTAAAATATTTTTTAAACTATATTAAACATTTTTAGTATACCATAGTACACTACTATGGTATAATTCTAATATTTCTTTTCGAAAAAGGTTCGATGTATGCAGAAAAGCAACGCACGTCTACTATACTATTGCTTTATGTATTGTTGCATTTACGGAAAAGTATGATCGTCAGTAACTAGTCCACTTCGAATCATTTTTATTTTTAGTTTCAACAAAAAAAAAAAAAGGAAAAAGTAGAAATTACCTTGCATTACGTGAATCACATGAATATGCGAAACAGAGAATGAATAATAAATTTATGACGCGAAGCAAAGAGAAAGGAAAAGAGATAAAAGAAAATTTTGAGAAATTTCTAAAAATTACACGCAAGATAATTAACAAATATGGGAGGAGAGCTCCCAATCGGAGAGTTCAAGAAAAATGCCGAACAAAAATATTTATACTAAGCGAAACGGAAGAAGAGAAAAGATTTCAATGAAAATGCAACATAATCGGATGAGAGTTACATGTAATTTTATGTACATATATTCGTTGATTCGCAGAGCAAGTATGTACATTTCAATATGTATCTTTTTCTTTCTTTTGAAATCGGTGATCTCAGAGTGAAAGTGGACAATAAGGGACATGAAAAAAAATACGTCATTTAATTTACAGACTTCGAAACGTGCAGACTGATTGGAGGATCGTTTTTTCACCTTCCCTTTTCATTGATAAATGATAAATAAACAAGGATCCGATTAGTCAATTAACAGATTGATAAAAAAAACGTGATCATTTTTTAATAATCTCTCTCTTTAACAACAGTACATATTAATTATACAGTTTTACGTATAATGTGACATACTTCAATTATTGCGTATTTATCGTAATTAATTGTAATAGACGTGTGTGTATAGCTAATTATTATTTCTTAATATACGTTAATGATAATTGTAATTAATGCGTCATGATAAACTGTAGTATGCGGGAAACAAAATTTCTTCATCCAAATTTTTTTAATTCGCGGATATTTTAGATTTCTGAGGTCGGAAATCTAAGGTTATTTTTTTCACAAAAATGGAAAATTTTTCAAAAATTTATATTACTATTGCACTGAATTTCATCTATATACATGAAATACGTACTAACCATTATTCAATATTATATACTGTTCCTGACGCATACTTATGTGCATATATTGGCAGAATTGCATTTTATGCGTAATGTAACCCACTCTAGAAAAAACTACTGATGCAACAGAATCTAGTTAATTCTAGACATAACAGAGAAGGGTGTTAATTATTCTTATATTGAACATACATGAGATTAGGTTCGTAAATCCAAATACAAACAAAGAAACGTGGATTAGAGAATTAGTGGACTGTTATTATTCGAACGATTCACTTATGTTTTGTTCTCTAAACGATTCGGGAAATTAAGGGCACCCTGATCGTGTTACCATTTTCGTGTCACATCCTATCATATCGACCTAGGGAAATATTGCCAACACTACAGTGGACAGTGTTGCCGCATCCACAGGCGAGGTATATGAATAGACATTGCATGACCATGTATTTTCGCGGCCATGATAATAAGGTAGAGATATCCTTACCATTTTCGTGTCACATCCTGTTGTACCGATTTTGCGGTCGCAGCACTACTATTGGGGAAAATTGAAATTAAAAAAAGTTAAACAGTGTTGCCAGATGTTTCGAGAATTATTTATTGAATGGCGTGGTACTTCATCAATGAAGGAATATAAACAGCGAATTTAAAACAGCGATTCATGGAAATTGGGATGAAAAATTTAGTAGTTTTGTTTGACTATTAACATCTATTTAAAGGTGTTAAAAAAAAAATTGATTGAAATATGATATCTTTATGAACAACATAATTAGATATGCCGTCTTTTTATTTACCAGTTTGTAAGTCTATTTGAATTATTTTTATCTCGTAAACTCGATTTTATGAAAATTTGAACTTGTCAATAAAATATTTCTACAATTATTGTTTGCAATAAAGAAGCACATTATGTATGTTTTAATTACTATATAAATTACTTCTTGCAAAATTCATCCGTTTCGAAATTTCGAAGTCAAATTTTCTTAAATAATACCATTTTCATATTTTCTTTTCTATAGTATAATGTTACTCATTAAAACGAATTCACTCAATTGCATTTTCTACCGCCGAAATTATTTATTGTTATAAATTATTAATAGAAATGATATAAAGTG